ACAATAATGCCCAATGCCCCTTTGTGAATGTCATCCCTTCCATGCATCCTTTCTTGCTTCATAGTCTATAACTATCATCATGATGCGCATAACAACCCACTCTAAAGTCCAAACAACTTAGTCTAAAGTACAGACACTAATTGAATTTTTCAACAAATCCCTCCCTTTTTATTGTTGATTCATTACTGCACGGTGCCATCATTTTGCCTCAAAGTTTGTGGGACCTGTTGCGAGCCATGTTGATTTACTTGATCACAATTGAGAGGGCTGGATCCACCCCCTCTACTTTAAATTCCATGAGTTTGTTTACATTTTTCAACATTAAGAGCCGATGGAATTAATTAAGTAATAATAAATGTAAAAAGTTGTACTCTGAAAATTTTGTACATAGGTTGACTGGATTTGATACGAAGTACAATATATTGATTTTTTTTCATAATTCACATATTTAACCAATTCACCGATTTAAGTCAAAATTTCATACGATTCAATCAATTTCAGAGCACATTGGTGATCCCTATTTCTAACTTAGCAGCCATATTTTTTGAAAGAAGAACAACTATTTATTAAAAATAATAAAATTGACAAGAGACAAATCAAACCAATAGCTCAGAGCTATCATGGGGTGAGATATAGAACTGACTACTCCGTGAGGACCCAACAAGTTCGCTAACCCTACATCATGGTAGACTAATCTAACAACGTCATTGTAATTGTACTTGCTACTAAAATAAATCGACAAAAACTAGTTATTAAACTGGAAAGAACAAATAGAATCATAACTCCTACTTTTTCCAGCTACCATGCCAGTAAGGGATAAGAGATTTGATCTACCACTTCCAAAGATGTCATTCCGATTTTACCGGCCATCGGGAAGGGAGAAGATGTTTGTCCAGCCACCTCCAAAGAAAGCATCCCGATTTTATTAACCACCGGAAAAGGGAGAAGAGATTTGACCAGTCACCTCCAAAGGAATCATCTCGTGTATCAACATTTTAGGCGGTGTTGTTCCAGAAGCGCCGCCGCCTTGTTTTTTTTTTGAAATCTTCAATGTACCTGACTCAAACACAAGACCACTGCTCTCTTCATCTCAATTGACATTCTTCCATAAGACCGGTCTATGATCAACATTGGTGGCAACAAAATGAACACCGAAGCCGAGATAGAGAAGAAGTTGTGAAACACACGTTCACAAAACATAACAAACCAAACTCTCAGCCAGAGAAAACTCAGTCGGACGGAACAACACAGGAAATAGCTAACAATGAAGAAGAGAACCTGAAGCACACCTAAATTGCATATGAAGCCCACAAAGTTGTTCCAATCTTCTCCGTCGTTGGATAAGTCGAAAGGAGATGGGCAAGGAGGCCGCCACACTCTCCTAGGGTTTCTCTCAACCATCACCGGTTATTTTGGGTTGCATCGAAGTTGCTTTGTTTAGGCACGACTTAATGAGTCGTTCAAATTGCATTTACTTTTTTATAGTAGCCATATTAATCAAGTTATTTAGCAAACATGTAACATTCGATTTCACGCGCCGAATTATGTATTAATTAAATAATGTAAGAGTTGCATTATCTTTGTGGCCAACTTGTTTGATGTTCCTATAAATGACTATTATGTATTAATTAAATAATGTAAGAGTTGCATTGTCTTTCTGGCCAACTTGATTGATGTTCCTATAAATGAATATTTTAGTTATTTTTCATATAGTTTTTTTTTGTATTCAGTAATAAAATATAGAGTATACCTTAAATACAATTTTTCTATAATAGAGCTTATTCAGTAAATTTGGTTGTTTTAGTTTCGACCAATATAGAGTATACCTTAAATACTTTTAATAGTTTCGACCAATTTAGCCAAATTCATTGTTACTAAATGGACCCTTACTAAGATATTTGTCTCAATTAAGTAGTCTTAATTACTTCATGTGATAGATTTTTTTACTTTGTGTGTGCAATAAAATGTCAAAATTGAATATAATAGTCAACTCAAGGTGGTCTGTTAATGACTAGAGTCATCATTTACTGATAGATAATTAGATAGGCATATGTTTGTAAAAATGGGCTCATAAACACTTAATATGCATCTCAAGGGTATGCTAGATATTTTAGGGCTTAGTAATAGATACTCCTCTCATTCTGATAAGATTGTCTCGTCTTTTATTTTTTATCTGCCCCATTAATATTGACTCATATCAAATTAGGTAATATTTGTGTGACTCTAAATAAATCTTACTTTATTATCCCCTTATCAATTCAATGCCCATCACGTAAATTCATTTTTCTTAATAAACACACATCCCCCTCTTGTATCGATGTTAGGGAACCGAAAGTAGTATGGAGTATAAAATATTTTTTCCTCAATATATGTCTCAATGATATGATAGATATTACAGAGCTAAATACTATGTACTCCGTAGTATATACCACTTCCATTTTTTTAAATTGCAACAATTTGTCTTTCACGTTTGTTGACACACAACTTTTTTGCTTGTAAGTATATGTAACTCACGTTTAAATTTTGAAAACTCACATCAAAAGTAGTAATATTTTGTGCATAAAAAATTGACTGTATATATTAGTTGAAAATTATGACCAAATTAAGGTGTATGAATATTACAAGAATCACATTCAAATTATCTAAGCCCAACAAAAATAAAATCATGTTTTTCCGAGAAAAAATCTATAAAAAAATCATGCTACTCTTTTTTCTGACAAAAAAGGATTAGGAAGTAGACACAACCCGATAACCATGATTCCGAATGGAGTTATCAAAATTTAAGCTATGGTAGGAGTTTAATTTATCGAATCAAGAACTAATCATTCCAATACACACTATGTTTATAAGAAATATTTACACCGTAGAGATCAGCGTAACTTCATATTTAAACATGCTTTTATAGTTTATAAATAAAAATTGAAAAAAAGCTATTTGTACACGAAATTTGTACATATTTTGCACACATTATATGTAATTATTTGTGCACAAAGATAATATGTTCATCCCTAATTGCGTGAACACATGCAACTCGTGCAACATTGTTTGTGTGCAAAATATTTACAGAGTATAAGTTTGTTTACAACAAGAATTATTGATAAAAATTGTTAACATATGAACTGCGAGATTTTCTTTGGATGAGTCAAGCCGACCTCCTCCTGTTTCTCCATTTCTCCGCTCATGTATTAGTGTCAAGCACATGTCACAAATGCTTGAATTCCACGAGTAAAATCACTAGTTCACTTTATTATAGGGAGATTTCTCAAAATAGGAGTAAATGGAGTTTGAAATTCCGAAATAAGATTACTATGTTTTTATTACAGATTGGGACTAACATGGTAGTATTCACTGTCATCTTGTAGGCGTGACTGCCAAATAGCTGCAGTACATTGCATGTAATATAACAATATTTATTATAATTAATGACAGTATTTTTCAATCATGGCGGTATTTTTCATACATGACAGTAACAACTCCTATTTCGGGAAGAAAAACATACTAGTCCTGTTTGGAATTTCAAATCTCACTTGCTCATATTTTGGACAATTTCCCTTTATTATAGGAAGATTTTACAAAATAAGAGTAAATAGAGTTTGAAATTCCAAAATAAGATTACTATGTTTTTATTACAGAAATGGGACTAATATAGTAGTATTTAATGTCATCTTGTAGGCATGACGGATTGTGCCAAGGCACCCATAGGAGAGCCAAAAAGCGAGTTGTCGTTTGTAGGCCGGATGATACCACGCGAACCAGCAAAGGAGGGGCCGAAGAACTGTGTGCTGACCGGCGGCTGCGAACGTGGTGTTTCCGAAGATGAGTGCGGCAGAACTTGCTGCCATAAACCCGGAGGAGGCTGAACCGGAGCAATGCCAAGGGAATGAAGGCGACAGATTGTTAAAAAGACTGTAGGTGCTCGGCGTAGTCCAAGAAGAAGAGAACTGCTCTGGAATTGAATGCACCACAGAGGAGGAAACTGGTTGCGTCATCGTGGAGGAGATGTCGCCGGTGGAGGAACTGGCCGTGACAACAGCATCATCGGACGAGGAGAGCTGGCCTATGTGCTGTGTTGAAGAGCTGTCAGTGGAGGCCATAGCCGCAGATGGAAGATGGAGGGCTGCGTCGTAAGATTGTAGGGGAGAGAGTTTGCGGCGTAAAAGTTCAGGAGAGAGAAGCAGCCGAAAAAAAATTGGAAACCTAAACTACTGATACCATGTGAATTAACTGGGAAAGATACTTCAATAGGAGTCGTGGACTGTATATTTATAATGTAAGAGTTTAAAACAAACTAGGAAACAAGTATCCTAATAATATTACATTAGTATGTCATCTCTGTTAAGATTTTATTTGGATCCATAATTGGATCTCATGACATTATGTTAATTAGACCCCAAACCCGAAACAACCACATGCTTGTGTTCTAGAATCTTTTGTGTAGGAAGTCAATCAAGGATGCTCAAGCTTGACACAAATTCTCTCTGTTGATTGTAATTGTACTAGTGCAATATATTTACGATAGATGTTAATTAGTACGGGCAGAGAAAAGGATGTGCACCATCGATCACGTCCGACCCACCTAAATTTAATCCAAAAACATGTTTTTTGTTTCTATTTCTATTATATCAAAATTTGTCTAAATAATTGTTTCTTGACCTGTGAAAATGTAATCTGTTCAATTCTTGTTCCAACCATGAGTCATAACCTTTGTTAAATCGCTAAGAGGATTTGGTTTGGAACAAAGTAAATTAATACTTCGTACTACGTATTTAAACATTAATGTAACTCAATGACTTATTGAAGGAGGTCTTACCAACGGTATTCATAGTGATGTTCCCCGGTCCCTATTTAATGTTTCCACTTTCTTTTTTTTGGACATCCATTTAAAAGTCTTCTTTCTTTATTTGGTAAACAAAACAGTGCCAAAAAGTGTAAAACGATATCAAACAGTGACATTATCGTCAGTGGCGAAACCAGAGAAAAAATTAAGCAGGAGCACAATCACATAACGTAAATCATCACATTAATAATAAAAGTGTCTTAACAAATTACACTAATAAAATATACCAAATTTAATCAAAAGGGTTAACGTAATTACATCGCATTTCCATCAATAATAGATTCTCTAATCCTACTCTCGCTCTCGCTACCAATCCTGCCATCCGTGTCTAGAGGTGTGGCTTGTACAAACACATTTGAAGAACTATCATCGAAACTTATTGGTGTTTTTTCGGGGAAAATACTTCTCAGTTGACATCTCCTAATGACAAGTATTGAAACAACAAATAATTAATTCAAGTCAAACTATTAATCCATTATAAATACTTCATTAATACAAATAATACATTAACACAAAATATTACAATAACACATAATCGTTATATTTAATTCAATCTATTTTACACAATCACACTTCATTTTTTTCAAACCATAACTATGAATTTAAAAAAAAAATCAATAGAAAAATACCAAATTTTATTTAATTTAAAAGAGAAAAGAAGTCGGAACCTACCAAATCGGCAACTGGCGACTAGACGGCTGGTGGAGTGCCATCGCCGACTCGCTGTCGCTTGTGACCGGTGGTTGGAGTCTAGACTCTGGAGAGCTGGTCTGCTGCTTGTGGCTTGGGGCAATGGGGCTTGGCAGGTTTGCGGCTTCGCTGAATCGCAGATTCACAGGGAATAGGCAAGGCGAATTGCTCAGCCGCTGGGCATTGTTTTTTGGAGGATTTTGGGCTGCATACGGGTGGGTATTGGGCCTTCCAAGCTCGAGTGGCCCTTATTTTTTCCCAACACAAAACGACGTCGTTTTGTTTAATTAAAAAAATGTTCTTCATCTTCCTCCCGCGGCAACGAACGACTCCAGCCCTCCAACATCAGACAGCTCACCGCCTCGTCGGAAAGTTCAATGAAGATCTCCGGAGCCCCCAAACCCCTATATATACCCTAGCTCCGCGGCGGAAGCAGGGGCACCGCCTCCTGCCCCCGGCAGTTCCGCCCTTGATTGTCGTAATATGTGTGCATTTTGAAGTGGGAACATCAAATAAGGACGGAGGAGTATGAAAAAACTATGAGCCGTTTTGTGACCATTTTTAGTAAACGCGTAACTTTCTATTTCGCGCACTGAATTGTGTAATAACGGGAAAAAGTAAGATTAAAGTTACTGTAGAAGATCATTTTAGTTATTTTTCATATAATTTTCACTTTATTTTATTAATAAAATATATTTTAAATATAATCTTTTCATAGTTTATCAGAATCAATAAATTCAGCCACTTTAATTTGAACTTCATAAATTTCAGTAAATCAGTCAATACAACCAATTTGAGTATACCAAACGAGCTCTATGTGTACACACTTTTTTGTACATATTAGCACATTGTACACATTTCGGTAAACAGACGATTTTTAGTTGTGAATAACATGTTCACAGACAAAACATATTCACCGATGAAAATGTGCAGTATTCAAGATTTTATATGTGTATAACAAAGTGTATTTTCAATGTGATTAATATAAAAATAAATAAAGAATTTATTTAACATCTACTTTCAGGGTTTGAACGAGTGGGTCCCTGGGACTTTAATAACGTTTGTAATTGTATGGATTTTATTTTCTCTTTTTTGGGATGAAAGTATAGAAACTCATTTGGGGATAGGATGGGGGTCCAAGAGAGGCTTTTTACACGTGAGTCGTGGAGACAAGCAAAAGCACTTGCATGCGCGTCGCTATAAAGGATTCATGATCATCATGATCATCAATCATCATCATCCCCCATTCGCCGTTCAATTCTCAATCACTCACTCTTTGAATACTCCACCTCTCTTTTTCCAGCTGAATTAACACCACCCCCAATCATTTCTACTTTCAAACTGATTCACGTTTCTTGATCCATATCACCATCCCTTTCTTTCTTTTCCTAAAGGCACATTTTTATATTATTGCTGCTTCGGTACTTCCAAGTTTGAATCAATTCAAGAAAGAAAGTAGCTGCTTTTTTCCCCACCCTTTCTAAAGCTGCATACACCTCCTTTATGGCCCATTCAATGGTGGGTTTTAATAAAGCTCAAATCTTTAGCCTTTTCTTTAACCAGTTCTTGTTCCCTACCCCTTTTTGCTTCATTATTTCTTTCTTTGCTTATAAATTCAGCCTCTCTGTTGAGTCATTTTCTCTGCCCATGTCTCAGTAAAAGATGGACCGACCTCAGATTTTGATTCCAGTGTAGTTCTTTGATCAATGTTTATTCCCTCTTCGTTTAGGCCACTGGCTAAGCTAGTACTTGTATGTGTATAGGCTAGAGAGAGAGAGTAAAAAAAAGGGGAGAGAGAGTGTGTGTGTGTGTGAAAGAAGGGGGGAGAGAGAGAGAACGGCTCATATTACTGGTATTAATTATTTTGCTTCTTTCAAGGCGTTTTATTCTCTTAATGTGCAGTCAGATTTGGTTTTATACCTACTTATTATGCTGCTGGTACATTAAAATGGTGATCTGTTTGTGTCTTACTTCCTTGGATTCACTTCCATATTTTCTATTTTATTCGCATATTAAATTAATACTTTGGCTTTGGCTGTAGACTGTGAAGTGGGTAGTCAAGGAGGTAAAAATTTGGGGTTTTCCCTTTTAATTTAATAGTCAATTGATGTTCTTCATCTTCTTCCTTGATTCAAGGACTTTGTGTTTCCAACACAAGCAAGCATCCAATTCTCGGGAAAAATGTTTTCTGTCTGTCCCCACTTTTATTTTTTATTATTCACTCTCCCATTCAAACTTCTGCTACAGTCAGGCGTTTGCTTTTGGAAATGGGTATCCCAAAGAACCGAAAATTCTTACTGTATTTTCCAGTTTTGGACGTGAACAAGTTAGTTTTTGTTTCTAGCTAAAATTTAAAAAAAAATTTAAAATTGGGTATTTTTGTGATATATTCTTGTACTCTTTAATAGAGGTCAGTAATCAATGCATTGCCATCATATTATCTTTTGCGTATAGAAGATTGGGGTCTGATTCATCAGATTTCTATATTTGTATGCTATATTTTTCAACAAGTCTCGTCTTGCTGACATATGTTTTCTTCTGTATTTCAGGATTTACTTTAAAGCTTGAGTGTAAAACAAAAGAAAAAATTTACCTTTAAATTTCACCGCCATGCCTGTAAGACAGATGAAGGAAAGGCAAGAACAACATTTAGTGATCAAACCCCAGTTCCATAACAGTAATGGAAAAGGGCCACTGGATCAAGAACCACCGAACGGAAAAACCCATGGCCAGACGTCGCCACCGGCGAAAAATAGAGGTAGGAGAAGGCGTAGAGGTGGCCGGAAATCGGATCAAGGTGAGGCCTTTATGCGGCCAACTTCACGACCGTGTACGGCGGCAGCACATAAGCCAGCTGAAGAAGGAGGTCTCGTCGAAGAATGTGGTCTGGGGGTTCCCTGCTCCAGCAAGTCCTTAAGCTTTGCGTCTAGGCCTGGCTATGGAACACTTGGGGTGAAGTGTATAGTGAAGGCCAACCATTTCTTAGCAGAGTTACCCGACAAGGACTTGAACCAGTACGATGTAAGGCTCCTTCTCTTTGGGTTATAAAAACAAAGCCAGTTTGTTTCTTTGTTTATCTTTTATCGTTTGCAGAATTGAATTGCCTATACGAGGCTTTTGTTTTATTCTTGTTTGGTTGATGTATTTAAAATTAAAAAGTACTTGATATAAAATATTGGTCACCCCATTTTTGGTGTAACGAAAATTTATTTTTTGGGGTGATTGCCCCATCCCATCTCTGTCAGTTTTAGCTAATTATATCAAACAAGTCTACAAACAGGAATAAATCAAAATAATTTACTTAGATGCACTATAATTCAAATAGAGCAGTAGAGCTTCTTTGGCACAGAGTGCTTAATCCATTGAAATTAGTGAAATTGTAACTAAATAGGGTAAATATGTAAAAAGTTCATTTTAAAATTAAAGATAAAAGTATTAATTTCATCAATTTCAGCCCTTTTGGCCAAAGTGAAGAGTGGGGTCACTTTCTCATTTGTCCTTTTCTTTTATAGCAATAATTTTTTGACTCGCCATTTTTGGTCACTACCTTCCTCTTGCTTTTCTTGAAGGTAACTATTACACCTGAAGTCTCATCAAGAATTGTGAATAGAGCTATAATTGCAGAGTTAGTGAAAGTATACAGACAATCAGATTTAGGGATGAGATTACCAGCTTATGATGGGAGGAATAGTTTGTACACTGCTGGAGAGCTTCCATTTACATGGAAGGAGTTCACCATTAGGCTCATTGGTGATGATGATGTAATCAACGGTCCTAAGTACGTCTTCTCATTCCTACACAATTAATTCAAGATTTTTCTTTAGTAATTTAATTGATTTACTTTTAAATTAGTCCACCAATTCCAGCATTTATGAGTCAGCTTGTATGACATGTACACTTATTTTGATATGCTGATCTCGTTGGAATGAAAAAATAAGCAATGTTGGAAATGAATGAATGAAGGTTAACCAAAACAGACGGTTAATGCAAGATTTGTTTGGACTAATTTCAGGAGAGAGAGGGAGTACAATGTAGTGATAAGGTTTGTAGCAAGGGCAAATTTGCACCATATGAACCAATTTCTTGCCGGTAAGCGTGCGGATGGCCCACAAGAAGCTCTTAAAATTTTGGACATTGTGTTAAGAGAGGGATCAATGAAGAGGTATACATAAATGCATTTGGGTAAATATTTAAAATGTCTTAAACCAAATGCATTTAGTGTTTTAAAGAATTGAGTTTCTTTAAGGTATTGTCCGGTGGGAAGATCATTCTTTTCCCCGGATATCCGACGACCACAGCCTCTTGGTGACGGTTTAGAAGCATGGTGTGGATTCTATCAGAGCATTAGGCCTACTCAGATGGGTTTATCCTTGAATATTGGTAATTTAAACTACACTCCATTTTTTTAGTTTTCAGTTTACAACGGATTGGGAAATGATTGCCAGCCACATTAACTTGGTTTTTTAGTTTTTTTGCTAGGGTTAATTCGTTCTTTTAAGTTCAGCTTGGTTTTAATTCGTTCCATTTGGTGTGGATTAACACTTTTTAGGAAAAAACATATTACACTAATATGGAGTACCAAATTACTTCTGATTCACTTCTGCTTTGGGTTACTATAGTTTGGTTTGGTTTCGCAAAATTGAACTGAAATTCCCACCCCTGTGTTTTATATAGAACTAAAGTTATAATCATATTTACCCCACCATCCATCATCAATAAGATTTGTGATAATCAATAACAGATATGGCTTCGGCTGCATTCATTGAAGCCCTCCCTGTTATTGAATTTGTGGCTCAGTTATTGGGAAAGGATGTGTCATCAAAGCCTTTGTCGGACTCTGATCGCATCAAGGTACTTTATAGTTTGTGTTAAATTGGGATTTACACACCCTAAAGCGATTCTTAAAATGTGAGATTTACTTGACATTTTCCATGTCTAATGGATTCAGATTAAGAAGGCTCTTAGAGGTGTCAAGGTTGAAGTGACACACAGAGGTAATGTTAGAAGAAAATATCGAGTTTCTGGATTGACTACACAGGCAACAAGAGAACTCGTGTAAGATATTTAATTATGTCAAGTAACATTCCCTTTTTAACCAACTAGTTTGTTACTCAATTAGTAATGCTGATTTGCTAGGTTTCCGGTTGATGAAATGTCAAACATGAAGTCTGTAATTGAGTATT